CGCCAGAAGCTCGAACTCGAAGCTCCAGGAGTAGAAGTCAACACCATTGAAAGGTACGGTTGTCTTGATCTGAGTATTGTTAAGTAAATTTGGAGGCTGAAATACAATGCCTGGCTGTTGCTGTTGTTGCTGTTGTTGTTGCTGTTGCTGTTGTTGTTGTTGTTGCTGCGGTTGTTGTTGCTACTGTACTGGTTGTTGTTGCTGATACTGTTGCTGCTGTACTTGCTGTGGTTGTTGAGCAGGAGAACGACCGAAGATATAAAAGGGATGCTGAAACTGCTGCGACTGCGGCTGCTGTACGAAAGGTGAGAAAGCGAACGAACCAGTACTTGGAGCTGTAGCTCCACGCATGTAGCTTGAGCCATCAAGGCTCATCCCACTAAACGCAGACGAAATCGATTGTGTTGAAACTGGCGGCTGGACTGACGCTTGTTGCTGTGCTGTTGTCTGTGTTTGTTGCTGTTGTGTTGCAGGTACAGTCGATGGAGCACCTGGAGTATTCACAGAAGGCGGATTCTGCATACCGATATTAGCGTAGGCTGGTGGAAAATGCCCAGAGGCTGAGAGACCAGCGGCGGTAGTGGAGGAATGTGCTCCAGTAGTCCCAGTAACTGATCCAGCAGATGGTGCTGGTGTTGGACCAGTCATAGTTGACGGTAGTCTTAATTCCAGATAGCTCTCATACCATGAAGTAAATCGTCTGGTGTTGTAGTAGACTAAGTATAAAACTATAAACACAAACACTTGGCAAATCCTCAAGTGTTGGTCCAGGATCTTTGCTGGAATGGTAGACTAGTAAGACAGCGGAAGTCTTGTAAAATATACTGGTCAAGGTTGAATAACCTGAGTACGTGAACTTGTGGTAATCAAAAGTTAATAATGACAAAGATCTAACAAGTATTTATACTTCTACGAAAAGTACCTGTTCGCTAATGTACCTGTTCGTCACTATCGCGCTATGCGCCTTAGATGATAATGAAGAGGTGCGACTATTCGCGTGACTGAAGCGACTGTCCTATGACGAGCGCTATTTGCTGACGTCATCCTACGGACTTATATTCTACAGTAGGATTCGACACTAACTACACTTTATCGACTTACAGAAATGCTAAGTACTAATTATATCACAACAAATGCGACATCCATGCGGACCCTGAGTTTCCTCGAAATGACCCCCTTACGCGTGACGGGGCCCAGTCCATTGAACACGCCCAGCATGCGTCACGTGGGGAATCTGCACTCGGCAAGATTCCCGCCGTGAACACGCTGTATGTTGCCATTACAGCAACATTTGCAACCGTCAACTGGCATTCGTGACTCAGCACGCAGCAGACGAGGACAGAATATGATGAGCGCGGCAATGTCAGCCTCTGTATGACATCACCCCGCCAATCATCTCTGTGCAGACGATGCCAGCGCAGGTGCGTCTCGCCGTTGACGTTATTGCCATGGCGATACGGGAACCTGGATGGGTCATGCACCATCCATGAAAATCGAAAGATGGTGCTTCTTGGTCCTTTTCCTGTCTTCTTCACCAGCTCCTCCTCCAACCCAGTTTTTTTCTGCTCTTCACGTCACAGCTACGAGATGCTCCAGTCTTCTGTCTCCTCTAGTTTCGTCGCGCCGATTTCTCATTTCCATCATATCCGCCGCTTCTAGCCATGGCGGATGTAGGAGACTCTGGTGAGTCTCCCACTGCCGATGATGGTTCTGGACTAGGTAGGGACCCCCCCGTGGAGGTCCGTAGATCCGCTATAGACATCTTGCGGTCTCCCACCGCAGTCGTTACACCATCACAACCCGTATCTACTCCCGCCGCTCCCTATGTACCTCCGCCCGCTGTCGCCTCATCTAGCCGGGGCCCTTTGGTTCCAGACTGCGAGACAGCCACGACCGTGCGTTACACGGTCGAGTGTGCGTCGACGATTTCATCTGGGAAGAAAGCACGCATCGGGAAGTACACCCAGAGCACGATAGTCCTCGGCGGGAAGCTACATCGACGGTCGCCGCCTCGCACGTCGCCTGAACCTCAGGCCCCTGGTATTCCAGAACCCGAGCCGCCGAATCTCTCAAAGAAGGAACTCATCGAGCAGAAGTATCTCATGGCTGAGCACAAGTATAAGACCAGCTGGCTTCCATTTTTCCCTTGGCTTCTGCTAACGAAAACGAAAGACGGTTACCCTGCTTTGAAGTGCAGTGTATGCAAGGCTTTCGGCAAAGAGACAACACCGTACTCCAACAGCCGCGACGGGGCACGTGACCTGCAGACGCAAGCGATGCGGTTCCACGAACACACGACAGCCCACGAAGTAGCAGTCAAACGTCAGATGGAGATCGCCGAAGACATCGCCAGCACCCAGAGACGCATGGAGAATTACGCGCGGACTGACATCGAGGGGAAGCGTGTCATGAGGCTCCTACGCTGCGTCGACTTCCTGTGCAAGTGTGATGCACCCATCAGCATGTACCCCAGGCTACTCCGCTTCATGGCCGAGCAGGAGACACCGGACATTCCGCTGCAGTCTTACGGAGTCTACCTGACACGGTAATGCACTTTTCCGAAGTACACCATGTTCTTCATTTTCCATAAAGGTCTAACCAACACCCTGCTGTCACTTCTGCTACTACAGGTATGGCTTCTGTCAGCTCGTCAGCAGCCTCGCAACCTACCTGCAGCGCCGACAAATGCAATACATTCTCGCCTCACCCTACCTCGGCATCAGCTGCGACGAGAGCACTGACCGTACTCGCGGTAAACATCTTATTGTTTATCTGACCTTCTTGCGTGCACATCGTGTTGTCACAGAGTTTTTTGCTCTCCTGACCATCGAAAAGTGCGATGCCGCGTCTCTCCTCGCCGTTCTTCTGGCTCACTTGCGAGCAACTGGCATCGACCTCTCCCGAATCACCGGCATGAGCACCGACGGCGCCTCTGTCATGGTCGGCCGAGACAATGGTCTCGTCGCCCGACTTCGCGAGCACATCCCCCACCTCGTCTCGTCGCACTGCATCGCCCACAGGTTTAACCGCTTGTCATTTCAGTCGCTTAGAGTTCCTACAACTGCTTGTCTAAAATTCCTCCATGTGCACCATGCAGGGAAGCCTTGGCGGTGAAGGACGCGGCCACTGCTTCTCCAGACTTCGACATGGTCGACCTTGTGATTCGGACTCTAGCCGATCTTCTGGGACGTTCCTGTGTCTGGAGTCAACGCTTCAAGTACCTGCAGCGGGCAATACACAACACCAACCTTGAAGTGCAAGGAATTCACACCGTGCGCTGGCTTTCAAGGGGTGAGGCTGTGAGGCGCCTCTGTAAGGTCCTTGGCGCCGCTATCATTCTCTTTTATGAGTACGGGCATGAGCTGTATGAGGTCGTCATCTGTTACAAGTTCCAGTTCTGTCTTTTTTTCCTGGCGGACGTGCTCGGAGTGATGAATGAGCTCAACCTCAAATTCCAGAAGAGGGAGGTGAGCTTCTATCCCTGTTAATGTTGTAGTTTTTGTCCCATGCATCCACGTTTGGAATCACCCTCGGACTCCACTCCCTTGTCTGTCACTTCCATCAGGTCGATGTCACCGAAGTGACAAAGGACATCGACGAGGCGACAGGGGACCTCCGCCACCGCTACTTGGAGTGCGGAGAGGTGTTCGGTGGGGGTGTCGAATGCACGTGGCTTTCGGCTTTCTTGGCGGTCTACGGGCGCGGAGGGGGCAAACGCGTAAAGGTGCGGGGCATCGACAAAGACGGCAACCCAGTCACGCACACCTACACCATGCACGAGAAGCAGATCGACGGGCATGCCTTCCGCAGCAAGTACCCCGATTGCGAGCGGCTCTGTGCGCAGTTCGCGAAGGACACGATAAGCTTCCTGAAGACGAGGATGCTGGACCTGAACAATCTCGGCCCGACGAAGCTCTTCCGCGTGTCGAAGTGGCCCCGGATGAAGCAGCAGAGAGAGAAGAAGCTGAAGGAGTACCTACATGGCTGCAGTGCCTTGTTCGACAACAGGCTGACAGGCTTTTCCTTGCAAGCTGCGCAGAAGGAGCTGGTCACGTGGGCGCCACTGATGCTGAGCCACCATGCCGACGAGGGATTCCATCAAGGCCTGACGAACTACCTCGGCTCGACGGAGTCGACCTTGTGAGAGATTGCTGCTCGAAGGACGATTGTTGCTCTTTTTTTTTGCGCTTTTATTCTTCCCTTTGGATGTTGTTTATCGATTGTTGACTAGCATCGCTAATGCACTGGTCTTGTTCCGTGTACTCTATTCCCCCAACCCTTTTGGCAGTCGCTGGCCCAACCTCATGCGCTTGTGGCAGGCGTGCGCTGTCCTGCCGCTGAGCACAGTGGAGTGTGAACGAGGCTTCTCGCGGCAGAACGTCGTCAAGTCATGGGTGCGGGGCGCGTTGTGCAATGCGCGCCTCAGCGAGCTGATGGTCATTTCCCTGCTGCAGTACGAGACTGACTGGGACGAGGCCCTTGAGTGTTGGCGCGAGAAGCTGAGGCGCCCTGCTAAGTCTGTTCTGTTTGCCGCAGCGGAGAGGAAGCGTAAGGCGAAGGCGATTGAGGGGGCAGAAGTGAGGGTGGAGGAGGAGGCAGTCCCCGACTACATGGGGGATTGGGCAGAGGATGAGGGAGGGGGGAGTGGGGGGAGAGGCTCCTCCTGAAGTGGAAGACAACCCGTTTCTGTTCGATGATGAGGCAGAAGACGAAGTGAACATGGATGGCCCAGAATTTTAGTCAAGTGTAGGTAGTGGCGTGGAATCTTGTGAAGTCTAGACTAGATAGAGGACTTGTAAACTGGCCTGGCGTAGTGGTGCTTTTACTTAACTAGTAACTGTACATTCCTAGTTGATTTTTCAAGTGCAATGCAACCCTGATTGTTGACAGCCAACCCTGGAGATTTCAGGGTTGTAGGTTCCAGAACACTGAGAAATCAGGGAAGTCAAAATTCCAACACTTCGCTCTCAGGGTAAAATTTTTTCCACATTCGACAGCTCAGGGTGCTATTTTTTGAAACGTCAGCCCTGCATGGCGTCCTTCCTAGTATCCTAGCTAAGCTAGGTTCCTAAGTTTAGTTCCTAGCCTAAGCTTCTTTGAGACTTATGACGTTCTGTTGAGTATTAAGTTTCGCGTATAGTTCTAGATCAGGACTCAGCTTAGCTCCAGTTCATGGAGTGTGTGTATCCAGTGCATTCGGAAGTGTCAGACAGTCTTCATGTAGCTTTGCTGTCTGTCCTTCACATGTGCTGTACAAGGCCCAATTTGTTGAGCTGATGGCAGTCTGTAGAATGCGCCCCAGTGGGATGCATGCAGCAGCAACTTGCAGCAACATACCCTTCCATGGATAGGGATCCTATTACATCTGTGCTACGGGTTGGTCCACATGCTTCAAAGCATCTAAGAGCACTTCAAGAGGAGCCGAAGTGAAGAATGTTGCTGGATAGACAGCAGAGCCCCAGGCGGGGTGCAGCAGCACCTTGCAGCAGCCAGCATTGGCCACAGGGTAGCCCAGCAGGGTCTGAGCTGCCTCCACCTCGCCATAGTATGTTTGACTGTTGCGGTTGACCATCTGAGAGGGAGGGATGGGCATGGAGCGATGGGAGGGAGGGGGGTGGGTGGGAGGTAGGATGCAGCAGCACCCTACAGCAGCCATCATTGGCCAGTAGGTTGACCTGGCCACACCTCGCCATAGTATGTTCGGCTGCTGCAATTAAACATCGGAGGGGGATGGGTGATAGCGCGGAGGAAAGTGGAGAGCGTGGCAGTGAATCAGATGCTCGGGAGAGACGGATGCATGATAGCTTGTAATTGGGAGGGATCGTCGACATATGGCTGCATGATTGGTTGTTAGCAGCAGGAACAGCAGGTGTCGCCGTCAACGAAGCCAACGCAACACAGCGAACAGGGCACATGTAGGGAGACCAGAGCAGCAGGGGCCAATGTAGTGAGCGAAGTAGGGAGTCTGGATGAGAGCGTCAATGCCGTTGGATGAGCAGGAAGGATATTAGCCAATCAAACATACAGGGATTGTCATTAGGGAGCACATACAGGGAGGCCGGAGCAGGGGTCAATGTAGTCAGCAAAGTGACCCTGGTGAGAGAGGCGGTCCACCAGCCCAGAGGCAAAGACAGCAAACTGCAGGGGAGCACACAGGGATGAGGGGGCTACGGGCAATGAAGGCATGAGACGTAGGCCTGGTGAGGGAGAGGGACGGTCCACGGGGCCAGACACGAGGGCAGTGAACTGCAGCAGGGCAAGCAAGGGCAGAGGCAGAGGCGGGGAGGGTGAGCAGAACAAGAGTAAGTGCATGAAAGGAAGCGCTGCTGGTCAGATGGAAGGGCACTGTTCTTCACGCTCATCTGGATCCAAAGCTTTTGCGCAGTGGAGATTTGAAGCAGGGAGCTATCCTGCCTGCCCGGCCTGGGTCATGGAGGATTGGGTCTGTCTGAGGCGCCTCAACAGCAGCACAGGCAAGCAGGGCAACGGAGGATCCTGAGGATAAGAGGTTTGGATGATGGGACTCCAGGGCGTGAGAAGGCATGAAAGGAAGGACAATGGGTAGAAGGCCTTCAATGACAGGGAAGGGAACCAAGGAGATCTGGAGAAGCTGGCACAGACGTTCTCACTGCCTTTTCTGCACCAGAAATTCTCACTTTGCATGTGTAACCAAAGAATTATTCTTTGCAGTAATTAAGGGGGCTAAGCAGCACTACATACTCGTTATTACCGTCTCCAGCAGGCGGTCCTTCTCCTTCTCAACCTCCTCGCCTGTATTCACCAGATCCACTCGCGCCTTATGCTGCGTGGGCACTATCAAAACATTCAACAGGACTACACTGCATACTCGATATTACCATATAATTCGACATGACTACAGTCCATATTCGTTATTACCGTCTCCAGCAGTCGATCCTTCTCCTTCTCAACCTCCTCGCCTGTGTTCACCAGATCCACTCGCGCCTTCTGCTGCGTGGGCACTATCAAAAATTTCGACACGTCCTGCCCGGGAAACAGGGAGTCCATGTCCTGCTTGTACTGCCGCGGGCAGCCTGCAGCGGAAACAAGTGCATGGGTGAAATGGAGAACGCGATGGAAAGGAGAGAAGAATGGTCAGGGGGGAAGATATGGTCAGGAGGGAGAAATGGTCAGGGGGGAAGATATGGTCAGGGGGGAAGATATGGTCAGGGGGGAAGATATGGTCAGGGGGGAAGATATGGTCAGGGGGGAAGGGATCGCTAGGAGAGAGACAACGGAGGAGGGGAGGAAGGGGAAACGCGGGGTGCAGGGGTCGTGAGCAACCCATCCAGGCTTGAGCAACCCAGCCAGGCTTGAGCAACCCGGCCAGGCTTAATGGCTGCATATATCATCATGAGATGATGCATAGATCATCATGAGATGATGCACAGATCATCATGAGATGATGCACAGGTCATCATGAGATGATACATCGATCATCATGAGATGATGAACAGATCATCATGAGATGATGCACAGATCATCATGAGGTTACGCACAGATCATCATGAGATGATGCACAGATCATCATGAGATGATGCACAGATCATCATGAGATGATGCACAGATCATCATGAGATGATGCATCGATCATCATGAGATGATGCATCGATCATCATGAGATGATGCATAGATCATCATGAGATGATGCACAGATCATCATGAGATGATGCACAGATCATCATGAGGTTACGCACAGATCATCGTGAGATGATGCACAGATCATCACGAGATGATGCATAGATCATCATGAGATGATGCACAGATCATCATGAGATGATGCACAGATCATCATGAGGTTACGCACAGATCATCGTGAGATGATGCACAGATCATCATGAGATGATGCACAGATCATCATGAGACGATGCACAGATCATCATGAGACGATGCACAGATCATCATGAGACGATGCACAGATCATCATGAGATGATGCACAGATCATCATGAGATGATGCACAGATCATCATGAGATGATGCATAGATCATCATGAGATGATGTACAGATCATCATGAGATGATGCATAGATCATCATGAGATGATGCATAAATCATCACAAGCAGATGGGAGAACTACCACGAGTGTTGATGACCACCAAATCCCGCCGCGTAACGACCACACGACTCACGGAGCTGTGAGCGCAGTGACCAGCACATTCCAGACTTAGCCGCGTAACCGTCGCAAGACCCATAAGCCTCTCATCTCATCTGCGAACGGAGTAACCAGCATATTCCGGCTCTCGAGTACTCCGTTCGCCATGGCATCATCAACTGAACGGCGAACGGAGTTTTGAGGCGTCTCAAAACTAGCTTACAACCATAAGACTCACTCAACTGTGAACGGAGTACTCGAGGCCGGCAGACGTCCGCAGCACGTCTGTCAGAGCGTACTTCCGTCTAAACTGACGGTCGGCGCCGGTCTTCGCCGTCTCGTCCCCTACGGCCGTCATCTCTGCCGGCAGCCGGCAGATGCCGTCAATTAGACTGCAGATGGCGTCGGAAGGAGTGGAAGTAACACCACGAGGAGAGCTAACGTCCTTGGGACCGGCCGATAACTCGTGACGGCGACTTGTGACTGCTGATAGCGGCTCGATATCAGGGGACGCGAAGACGCCAACTCGAGACCGCTGATTGCGTGAAATGGCGTCGGCGACCGCTGGGGGGGCGCAACGCGAGAATCCGGGGAAGCGAAGGCGCAGCCGCGGAGCTGTGGGAGCGGAGGGATCGCGAATGAGGCGGGCGCGACGGAATCGGCGGAGCTGGGGGGGCGCGAGAAGGGGGAGATCAGTTGTGAGGATATTTCAGCATGAAGGTTTGGCAGGAACGTGGTGGAACGCACCCATCACAAAAAGGTTGGCGGGAAACCAAAATGTCTAGTCGAGCAAGGCATAGACGAGGTTGATTGGCTACGTGGTTACACTAAGCATTCATTAATGTCACCTGTCTCGCTCTGCGCGGCTGCGATTGTTTTATTTGCAAAGTGACTGTAACGCTATTCGCTTGCCTGAGAAACTCTCGTTCGACAGGACTCCGACTCGGCCGCCGTGCCGCATTACAGTGCAAACTTGACAACAAAACTGGTGAAGATTGTAACAACAAGGCGACTTTAATATGTGCTGTTTGAACAAAACCTTGGGTGTATTTGTTGGCGAGATGCTACAGCGTGTCGCATGCCTCCGCCATCCAGTGAGGAAGCCTCCGGTTGTAACCCACTCGAGACTTCGCTGAAATGGGATGGCCACAGCGAAACCGAAGTTCCAGCGCGCCAAACAGGTTCCCCCGCATGAGACACTCTGCACGCGACCCAGGCCCAACTGTGACGTAAACATGGATTCACAGGCCTGGCCCAAACTGCATCACGAACCATGGATTCTCAGGACAGGCTACATTGCGTCCGTCTCGACCAGGGCACGCGTTAACAGGGTAATGACCCTGAATTAACTGAAAATACAAGGTTTGTTTTTGACTGGCCCTGTGTTTCACAGGACTTTTTCAAGTCCAGCCCTGACAAACTCATGAAAATTTCCCTACTCACCCGGTGAGTCCAGGAGGATTTTGGGAGGATCTGGACCGGACACCAGGGTAGCCTCCAGGAGGTGTGGGAATATCTCAAGGTCCCCAGTCCTCCCTTTCCCCCCTTAGCCTCACCCTTCACTTTCCCAATCAAGGGAAAGTTGTAAAACGGCAGGGATCGAATAGCTTAAACTCAAATATTGCCAAGGTTCCTGTACGTTTCTGTGTGTTGCTGTCGTTATTTATAAGATTAAGTGCGGTAAGCATTCAAACGAATGTTTATTGGGAAATGAACCACGCCCTAAGGTGCCAAGGAGCTAGAACTTCACCTGTATTTCCGCATCAATGGTCACTTAGCAGCAGGTTTTAAAATGAGCAGCCACGAACAGATGTTCATGCCACTCAAAATCGCCCCAGCCCTTCCCCCCACCCCCCTTCTCCCTGGCCCTCTTGGAACAAATTTAGCTCCTTCACAGGTGCGTCTGTGGTGGCGGATTTCCCAACCCAAAGCTCTCCCACTCGCAACCCCAGTGTCTCGTTCCACAAAAACTGCCCACTCTCTATCAGGCCTTTTCGAACGCAGACCCTGAAGAATCAGGGTATTTTTTCACGAAGTCGGATTTTACAGGGTGATTTTTCGTGGGGCTCGGATCATCCGAGGTGGGAGAAAACCTAGCGAGAGCCCTGGTCTCGACGATCGTCTTGCGATCCTCGCACTGTAGAACGCGGGTAACCCGACAGCTACAACAGCTGTTATGATATAGGAAGTGTCAATATACTATAACGTGAGAATACAAGGTCGCTATTGCAATGAAAGGCACGAGGTTATATAGGGGTTGGCGTACTAGGGCGATAACCTCGGAACGTGGGTAGGTTCCGTAATGTGGCGACAGTGCCGGACGCGACGCGGGAAAGGGTTGGGCCGATAAATAAGGCCAAACGTGACGAGTCGAGGAGTTAGCGTACGACTCAGTAAGGAATGGAAATTCCTTACACTACCCCCCCCCCCCCCCCCTCCTAAACGAGACCACGGGCATCGGAAACATTCCGGCGCTGATAATACAGTGTTAGAATCGGGTGTGATTCTAGCTCAGCGAGTGACACCCAGCTATCATCTTCTGACGTGCGATCGCGCCAGCGGACGAGGAAGTCCACCATCCGACGGTTCAGCTGCGTCGTGACTCGATGGCCGAGAATTTTCAAGGGCTCGGTCGTCGGTTCTTGCACGTGCGCCAGCTGCGGTACACTGCGTTGGCGTACCAATTCCGACGAACTGGGGACGTACGGCCGTAAGAGGCTGACGTGGAAAGCTGGGTGGTGACGCCAATCAGCCGAGAGTCGGAGGTGAGCAGTGACAGGTGTCACCATATTTGTCACTTGAAATGGCCCAGAGAATTTGGGTCGGAGCTTGCTCGGGATCGGCAGCCGCAAATTGCGAGTGTCGAGCAGGACGAGATCGCCCACTTTATAAGTGACGTCACGTCGATGGCGATCGGCTTGTCAGCTTGCGACCAAGTTTGCTTTCCTGATTGCCTCAGCTGCATTTTCTCGGGCGGCGAGAATGTCTTCAGCAAATTTATGGGACCGGGGCACGGGTGTCTCGATGTTCGGGATAGAGGGTACCACTGGGTCCTATCCGCAGTTGAGGAAAAATGGGGACTGATGGGTTGTGGCGGAGGGCGCGTTATTATACGCGAATTCCAGCAGCGGAAGGGATTTCTCCCATGTCTGTGGGTCAGTACATGTAGTCCGAATAAGTTGCTCCATAATTTGGTTGACTCGTTCCGTCTGCCCGTCAGTCTGTGGGTGGTAGGCGGAAGAAAACTCTAGTTTGGTGCCGAACTGGTCCCACATGTGGCGCAAAAAATTCTATGTGAATTTCAGGTCTCGGTCTGAAATCATTGCGGTAGGCAGTCCGTGCAGTCGAATGATATTGGCGATGAACAGTTGGGCAGTTTGCTCAGCTGTAATTGTTTGTTGGCAGGCGATGAAGTGCGCTATTTTCGTGAGTCGGTCAACGAACACGAGGATGGCGTCGTTTCCGCTGGGACCAGTTGGCAGTCCTGTCACGTAGTCCATCGTGATGTGTTGCCAAGGTCGCTCGGGCGGATCCAACGGCTGTAGTAGTCCGGCTGCTCGCTGATGAGAGGATTTCATGATCTGGCAGGCGGTGCAGGAGGACACGTACTTGCGCACGTCGTCGGCCATGTTCGGCCAATAATAGTTGCGTTGCAACGTCTTCAGAGTTTTGTCGACTCCGAAATGCCTGGACATAGGGTTATCGTGGGATTCCTGTATTAGTAGGGTACAAAGTAAATCGTAGCCGGGCACCCAAATGTGGGAAGTATCGCGCTTGTTAAAATAGTGTCCCGTGGCGGTGGCATGTTGTTGATGAATAGCAGAGCGGAAGAAAGGGTCGATCTTGTAGCCATGGGTAAATAGTCCCGAAAGTAGGGGGCTGGCCTGGGCGACTAGTATGGCGGCGGTATGGGCAGTGGGTTTGGTCAGGGCATAGGCGATATTGTTGGCGCCCCATTTGTAGGTGATGGTGTAGTGGAAATTCGACTCGAGGAAATCGAGCCATCGGATCTGTCGCGGGTTGAGATTCGGTTGGGCTCGTAGGTACTGGAGGGATTTGTGATCGGTCTGCACCGTCACGTTAGCGCCTGTCAGGTAGCATCGCCAGGTCTTGAACGCGTGGACGATCGCAGCATTTCCTTGTCGTGTACCGTTTAGTTTTTTTCCGCGCCCTGCAGCTTCCATGATTCGTGGGCGACCGGCTGGAATCCGTCGCCGAAATCATGTAGGAGAACTGCACCGATTGCGATGTCGCTGGCGTCGGTGATGATTTCGTATGGACGGTCCGGATCGGAGATGCGAAGAATGGGCGGCGACGTGAGGGCGATCTTCAGTTGGTCAAATGTAGCTTGTTGCTTCTCTCCCCGCCAAAAACAATCGTGATCCTTGAGTCGGTCGGTTAGCGTGGCAGATAAACCAGCCATATTTGGGATAAAGCGGCGCACGTAGTTGATGAAACCCAAAAAACTCTGCAGCTCCTTTATGTTGGTTGGCGGCTTCCACTCTTGTATGGTGTTGATTTTCTTGGGGTCGATTTTCACTCCTTCGGTAGAAACCACGTGGCCCAAAAACTACAACTCTTGCTTAAGAAAGTCGCACTTAGACCCTTTCGTGATGAGGCAATTCTTGTGCAGCAGCGTGAAGACTGCATCAAGATCCTGTAAGTGCTGCTCCCTGCTGCGGCTGTAGATTAGTATGTCATCGAGGTAGATAATAACACATTTATCCAAGAGTTCATGGTCATCTGAAATGTCGAGGGCGCGTTCGTGAGGCCAAAAGGCATCACTAAGTATTCGTAGCTGCCGTAGCGGGTGCGAAAAGCGGTTTTGTGACAATCTTCGGCGGCGACGCGAACTTGATGGTAACCGCCTTGCAAGTCGATTCTCGAGAAGAACTTGGCTCCGCGAAGTTGGTCGAGTAGTTCGTCAGCTCGCGGGATCGGGTAACATGACTTGATTGTGATCCAATTGAGCGCACGGTAGTCGATGCACATGCGGAATCCGCCATCTTTTTTCGGTGTGAACAGTATCGAGATGGCGTATGGGGACGTGCTGGGTCGGATAAATCCCTTCGTTAGGAGGAAATCCAGCTGCTGCTGCAATTCTTCCAGTTCTGGTTGCTGAGCCGAAATTGTCGCTGTACTGTCGGCTCCAGCTCGATGCGATGGTCTTCTGGTCGGCTCGGCGGAAGTCCAGCGGGCAGGTTGTCCGGGAAAATCTCGGGGTATTTTCGAATCAGGTCCGCTAAATCTGGAGGAATGGCTTCGCACAGCTTCGCGATATCTTCGGCTGTTGTCATCGACGTCACCTCGTGAAGATCAACGGCGTACGCTGTAGCTTCCGCTTTTATTGCGCGCTTGAAAGTTATCGCATGGACTTGGGTGCTTCGCATGCGAGGCCCTGTCCATTTCGGTAGCTCGCGGGGGATCTCATCGAGTTTTATGCTGTAGCCGCCCATCGTCCAATCGATCTTCAGGTTGTACTGTCACAACCAATCCCGTCCAAGCAGCACGTCGCATTCGTCGAGTGTAGTCGCCAGCAGCCCCATCCGAAATTTTACGTGCTCCCCGCAGTGGAAACTGACGTTCTCCACTCGCTCCCGTATAGCCTGCGGTGTTCCATCCACTAGTCGGGTGTCAATTTTGGGTAGACACTAGAGCAAGGGAATACCCAAATTTTTAGCCCTGTCTAGCTGTATGAGACTGTGACTCGCGCCTCTATCCACGAAAATCTTCAGCAACACTCCGTTG